CCATCCAATGCCTGGGCTTAGGCCCAAGCTTTGGCTCAAGAAATTCCTTCCTTTCTGATGCTCATGCTTTCCTCAGGAGCCGGCTCAGCTGCCCTGAGTCAGCCTGGCATCCTTTCACCCCATCTCTTCCTCAGTGCTCACATGTCAGGGGCTGAGAAGCAAAACCTGCCCTGATTCTCTCCTAGGCAGCCTTGCCCCCATGGAGATGCCTTGGCTCAGAAATGGAAATAACTTTGACCTTGAAGACATCAGTCAGTTTACAGGGAATTCTGTTTAAAAATCAGAAGTATGGCACCCTAGAAAGTGGAAATCTCCGTTTAAGAAATGGGCAGGTTCACTGAGAAGTCAGAAAGGGTGCAGGGCAAGGGTCTCTGCCTCACTTCTGTGATTGCTGTTTACCACAGTAGGGAAGCTTCTATTCAAAAGGCATGTGAACCTTCTACACAGCCAACATACTGAAATAGGACTGAATCAGAGGATTCTTTAATGCACTCCAGACTATGGAAAAATAGACAAGAACTCATAGTGCTAGGTAGCTAGTGACCAGTTAGCAGCTCAAAGGTCATTCATGTTGGACTCCCCCCACACACACCTTAGTCAGCTTTAGGCCTACTTCCTGTGTCCCTGGTAAAACATTAATTTTGTAAATGAAAAATAGTGATGGATAAAGAAAGGAGAAAGTATCACAATTTCCCCTCCTTTGAATTTGAACTGTCAAAACCATCAACAACCCCCTTTACAAATGGCTTGTCAGTGGTTGATAACACCTGTGATGAAGGCCGCAGGATCTTCCCTTCCCTTTATGTGTGTGATGCAGGAGATCAAACCATGGCTGCATCCATGGTGAGCTCTACCACTGAGCCACATCCTAGTCCCAGCAGAGTTTCTGACATGGTTTCGTTTTTATTATGTGGCTTCTATAATCTTAAATCTTCATTATTTTGGGACACTTACATCATTTCAAGGTTTTGGCATCAATTGACTTCTAAGAATGCTTGTGTGTGTGTGTGTGTGTGTGTGTGTGTGTGTGTGTGTGTGTGTGTGTTGAGGATCATTCTCAAGAATGGAATTGTTGGATTATCAACGATTGGACTCTTGATTAGCTCTGGTCTCTTATCTTCATTAGCAATGTATAGATGTGCTCACTGGAGATCCTGAATAACATGGAAGAGAAATGTGGACGATCATAAGACGTTCCTTTCTGATGTGAAGCTAAAATAGTATCGCATTTAAATTTGCATCCTGCGGTAGAAATATTAACAACCTTCACCAGATTTGACAGATAATCCAGATTTTCCTCATTTACTCTGTCTGCAGAGTCCTGATGTTCAAACTCTCAGACGTGATTTCCACCATCTTCCTAAAAATTATCTTCAATTACTTCAGGTGAACAGATGTCAACAAGGCTCTCAGCCACTGCATCAGTCAACATATTTGTCTCAGCTATTACAGTGGCTTCAGCATAACTGCATTATGAATACTGGCATAGCCCTGCAGTGTGTGCTTGAATGAATGACGGGCACTTTATATATTCAACATCAATGAACATCAGCAAGCTTATCTGAAGACTGAAGTCCCTCTCAAATCAGAAGACTTATGACCACAGTCATAAGCTAACTAATTAACAAATTTATTTTCTTTCTTAAATTTCTCTTATTCTGTTACATCTCACATTTTTCAATTTTTCCTGAAGTTTCTAACACCATTATCGCCACCCATACAGCAACAATCCCGAGGATTAAGAATCAACAAGCCACCTGAATCAAGCTGATTTATCAATATTTTGCTGGATTATATATGTCTTGATTTAAAGAATTTATTATAGTATTTTTCACATTAACTAACCCAATTCATCCTCCTTGGATTGCAGGTTGGAAGTTGGATAGAACAGTACAAATCAGTGTCAAAATAATTTTGCCAAATTTCAGTCCCAATCATCCTCCATTAAACTTCATCCTTTTGCCACTTTGATATATTTATGTGACTTTTTTTAAGACTTGTTAAGAGTTTATTTTAAAGGCTCAATGGGTTTCCTGGATCCAAACTACTTTATAAAATAGTTTTGATGATACAAAATAAAATGAATTAAAAACACATGGAATCAATGTTCTCTAAAATATATGTGTTTTTAAAGTTTAGAGGAATGGGGGTGAGAAGAGATGGTTGGCAAAATGGGGCTTAGCAAATCCAATTTTTTGAAGCCACAAAACTTTGATATTTTATTCTAAAATCTTACAGAAAAGTAACATAAACCAATATGCTTTTTTCATAAAAATGCATAAATTCTTGAAAAATATTTACTTAAATCTAGAAGTATATAAAATGATACTATATCATGATCTGATCTTTTTTATTTGAAAGATATGAGATTTATTTAACATTCTTCACTCAATCTGTATAATTCTTCACAATTTTTTTTAATTTTACTGAATTTTTCTGCATTTCATACAATACATCTTGATCATATTTAGACTCTTCCCCCATCTGCACCTCTACAGCCTCCTCTCTATAGATTTCATGCATTCTGTCATATATGTTAAGGCCTATGGAGTCAAGTTTGTGTTCCCAAATGTCCTTCAGTGTGAGTCCATCCATTGGACCCTGATTAACCTATCAAGCATCATTCCCTTAAAAAATAACAACTCTCCCTCAACCAGTAGTGACTAGTTGCCAATGGTTCCTTAGCTAAGATTGGGCCTTCTTACCCATTTCCCCATTTCCATCCTGAGTTTCTGTCTGGTTTGAGTTTGCAGGGTCTTGCGCATGCTGTCAGCATTGCTGTGAGTTCATAGGAGTAACTTCCACATCATCTGGAAAACTCTGATTGCTTGTGGTCTTCTACCACCCTCGGCTCTGACAGTCTTTCCAAAGCCTTTTCCCCAATGGTTCCTGAGCCCTGAGTGGCAGAGATTTAATATAGGAGTCCTGTCCAGGGATACACGCTCCATAGTCTCTTATTCTCTACATTTTGGCCAGTTGTAGCTTTCTGTGTTAATCACCATCTGTTGCATGAGAAGTCTCACTAGTGAGAGTTGAGAAATGAATTAATATTCTCTGCCCCAGTTCCACCATGCTTCCTGTGTGTTAGCTGTAGAAGTTGTATTACAGGTGTGTCACTTAGGGCTAGGCACCTCATAGACACTTATTCTTCGTGTCTGGCCAGTTGTAGAACTCTATAATAATCTCCATCTATTGAAAAAAAAAACTTGTGACAGATATATGTCTCTCTAAATATAAGGATACATATTTAATCATGCAGTAAGAAATTATGTTTGTCTAGGGATGTGACAGGCATAGGTTTTCTTTAGGATATATGACCTCTCCACCCATGGCTATGTTTATAAGGACCACACAAGAGTTTCCTCCCATTAAGCAGGCCTTAAGCCTAATTAGAAAACTATTGATTACCCCCAAGATAAAAGTGCCACTGCTGCACCAATAGGGATAGTTTGTTGTGCGATCATTGTTGTGGTTATTAGACTTTACAACTAGGGTTGGATCATTGATTGTTTTTTTTCTCCCTTAGCAGCTTGCAAAGTATCCTCTGAAACTCTGAGAGCTAGTCTTCAGGGAAGAGGTTTCCAGGTTAGTTCCAGCTCAATTGCTCCAAGTCTTATGTCTGAAGTGTGTTCTGTCTTTAGCAATAGGGTCTTTCCTTCAAGTCCTGGTAGGTAATCAAGGTCTGTGGCAACAGCTTGTGTTACTTGGGAGTCTCTTGGACTACCCTGACCAACAGCTTGAAGGGGGATTTCTCCTGTCTGGCACTTTGTTTCTTGTTATATAGCCTTCAGCTATACACATATATATTATACATACAATAATATATATGATAATATGTGTATCATATATGTTTGCATATTTGTATCATATACAATCATATATACATGATACACATGCAATCATATATATTTTTCAGTAGGGTTTTGAACTAATACATTTCCCTCTGGTTTTTCTCACCACTTAAGCATTATTTACCTCACCTCTTTCTTCCCCTGTATAACCCTCCCTAATTCCTCCCAGTTAAAAATACCCCATTTCCTCCAATTCCCCCTTAGTAACACCTACCTCCTCCTAGCCCCCCCCCACAAAGCTCCTTCTTTCCATCTTCCTGGCTCCTGCCTTTACATCTAAGGACTTTGAGCTAAGATCCACAAATCAGGGAGAACATATGTCACTAGCTTTTCTGAGTCTGTGTTGCTTCACTTAGTATAGCAATTTCTAGCTCCATCCATTTACTTGGAAATTTCATTATTTTGTTTTTCCTCTTTTATATACTATTTTATTGATTTTTTGTGCTTTTCATACAATAGATCGTAAGCATATTTAGACCCCCTCCCTACCCGCACTGCCCAATAGCCCCCACAAATCCAAATCCAAATCTTTGAAAAATTACTCCAGATATTTGACAAACCCCCCGGTGCCCCTAAGTTTCACCCAAGCCTGCTATAAATGAAGATAATTATAGACAGCAATAAAGTGAGGTTAAGGCAGTGTGAAATAGATGCTATTGGAATTGAAATCTACTCTTAACTGAATTATGCCACAGAAAATAAAGGGTGTGGATGTGGCTTTGTTGTCAAGAATGAATAAAAGGATAGTGTTATAGAATGCCAGCACAGAGGAAATGGAAAAATCAAAACAGAACAGTTTCAAACATAGAATCCTGATGGTATCCTGGCATTTTGCCCTGGCATTTGGCACTCTCTATGTAGCCAGTGGTTCAAAGACAGGATGATAAGTCTCCCACTGAAGATGTTTGGGAGCTTATGGGACAGTTTTTGGTATTTTCATAGCTGACAAGAGTTACTACCATCTATTTCCCAACAACTAAGGATCATCTCAAAGTTCCCAGAAAATGAAGAACTGTTCTCCAAGATAAGCACGGTGCCCCCAACACTCTCACCATCCACTGATGGCCCTGTTTCCATGTCAGCTTTCTTATTATCCCTCCCAAACCACAGCTGTCTTCCCTTTCTGTTTTTTTTCTATAGCCCACTTACTTTGAATTAATTATCATTCCTCTTCAATAATCCACATCTCTCCTTTTCTTTCAGAAAGACTCTTTTCCAAGTCTTTCCTTAAGGGCCAATCTCCAGAGTGAACTTCCTGTCTTCTTTTGATGTATTTCAATAGCCTCCTTCACATTATTTCACATTTCCATGATTATATACATGATAATCTGCCTACAAAAAAAAATCTGCTTAAGGGACTGGAGAGAAGGTTCAGTGGTTAAGAGCACTGTCTGCTTTTGTAGAGGACCCAGTTTCAGTTCCCAGCACCCACACAGCGGCTAACAACCGTCCTAACTCTGACCTCCACAGGCACTGCACAATATGGGTCCACTTACATTCAGGCAGGCAATATACTCATACACATAAAATAAGTAATAATAATAGTAATATTTTTTAAATCTGCTTAAGTACTGCTAAATTTTTTTCATCAAGATTGTGATTGTACAGACAGCTACAATTGGAAATTTTTTTTGAGATAGGGTCTCCCTGTAACCCCAACTGGCCTAGAACTCACTATGTAGACCAGGCTGGCCTCAATGTCACTTAGATCTGCCTACCTCTACCTCCTGAGTGCTGGAATTAAAGGCATGTGCCACCCATCCCAGCTGGATTCTTTTATTTGGCTTTATTGAGATAATTTTGCCATGTTTGTTCACATATAATCACACACATAGATATAAATGTACATAGAGATGGGTGTAGGTGTAGACACATTTCTCTAAACATGTAAACACTGTCTTCATTTAAGGATGATGTCATCTGGGTCCTGTGGCCTGTCAGGTCTAGTCCTTGTGTCTCTTACTAGTTGTGTCACAGCACTGAATAACCTACAGGAGCTTAAAATGCAGCCCATAAAAGTCAGTTCAGAAAAGAGAATCTAATACCTGCTTGGGGAAATAATTCTCACACTCATTTTCTTGAAACATAAACTTACATCTGGACTATAGCAGTGTTTCACAGAATGACTAAGGAAAATTTCATCTTTCAAGACAGTAAGAGTTACACTAGAAAGTGTGCTTTAGAATAGCCCTTCATGGCTTCACAGAAAAAGGATTTAAATGAAAAACAATTTTTACATTAACTTAGGGTTAATAATAATTTGTGGTGGTGTTTATACCTAGTCTTTGCCTGAAGAACATTCAACATGATGAATGGCCATGCCCTTATCCCTGGGAGCTCCTCTGTATGTCTGCCAGAGTGCTGGGTCACTGAAATGGCTTGCATCATGAACAAGATCACTGTCTCTCAGCTGCTCCTCCAGCCCTACCGTAGGCACAAGATTACAAGCTTGAACTATCCAAAGTTTAATTCCAGAAGGTCAAGTGGAAAAAGTATGCCCTCTGTGGACAAGAGTGCTACCACTAACTCCTCTTCCAGTTTCTGTTGACAATGAAAATTGGTAATACAGTGATCTTTTGTTACCAGAAGTAACAAAAATAATACCAGTGATTTTCCTAACTATAAAACATATCCATTACATTGTAAGAAATGAAAAAAATAAGAAAGTAACCTGAAAAGTCACCTTTAATTCTATCATGTAGAAACCATCAATGAATATTTTGGTAAATAGTCATCCAGAGTTTTGTATGTGTCAAATGCACACGGGGTCAGGGGGGGGGGGGGGCATGGAGGGGAGGGAGGAGGAGACAGAATTAAAAAGCACACACAGCCTTTTAACTTAGTTTGTTGTTTAACATGTTAATGGACAGTTCAATACCAAGTACAAACGAAAAAGGTGTAATGATGTCAACACTCTTTAAAGCTGCTTAATGTGCTACTGAAGTAATGGCTCAAGATTTTCATGGGCATGATGCAGTTTGGCATCTAGACTGTCCTAGTATCTTGCTATTTCCTGCACCACTGTGACTGCCACTCTTGTACATACATTCTAGGCATTCCACTGTTTTGAATAGATAAAGTCTAAAAGTGGAATTACTTAGTACAGTAGAAAACCAGTTTAATTTGCACGGCCAAATGCACGCCCCTGGATGCCATACCAATCACTGTCCTACCAGAAAGCGTTCAAAAGGAAATAATCTGTGAATTTAAACAATCTGTCTACACAGCTTTTGGAATATAGCCCACTCCCAATTTTGAACTACTTGTGGTAATATTTTAGTTGTTTAAAATTATGTTCTGGGGGCTAGAGATACGGCTCAGAGGTTAAGAGCACTCGCTGTTCTTGGAGAAGACCAGTGTTCAAATCCCAGCACCCACATGGTGGCTAACAACCATCCTTAATTCCAGTTCCAGGACACCCAACACCCCCTTCTTCTGACCTCCACGGGCACTGCACGACACAGGAGCACTTACACACATGCAGGCAATAGACTCACATTAAATAAAAATAAAATAAATACTGTGTTTTGATTTTTTTCAGTCAAGGGCAAAGGAACTGGGGGCAGACATTATGAGGGATTAAGAAGAAGGAGGAAGAGAGGCTTAATTTTTTTCTTCTTAAGATGTGAACTAAATAGAGTTTCTGCTTTTAATCATTTTTATGTTTCATTCTGAGTAAATTTTGATAAAAGTTTCCAAAACTTTTTTTTCAGTAAAAATATCTTTCCTCATAGAGTCAAGAAGAAAAGATGGTTATTATTCTGATTCAGAGTTTGACAAATAGTTCTCAAAAGCACATCATTGAACCATGATTTTAAGATAAAAGTAAGATCTTATATAGCATTGTAAACAGGCTGTCCTTCGTAAAGATTGCTGGATACATATGGATTAAAGAGATAACACAGTTGGTAGAGTGCTGGCTGACATTTATGAAGCCTAAGTTCAGACCCCAGCACCCACATAAAAAGCTGGGCATGGCAGTGCTCAAGCCTGTAATCCTAGAGCTGGGTGGGGTAAGGTGGAGACTGACAGATACAGCTCTTATTAGCCAGTCACCCTAGCTGAATCAGTGCTCATCAAGTTCATGGAAGACTGTGTCTCAAAACATCAAGGTGGACAGCAGTCAACAACAGACCCCAAAGACGACTGCTGGCGTTGATATGCATACATGTATGTGCGCCTGAGCATCACATGTGCACACACCCACATTAACAAGTACACACACACACACACACACACACACACACACACACACCCCACAAGATAGTTGGATATATTTAAATTTTTAAAAATCAGCAATTTAACCAGCATTTAAATTGATTTAGGTTATGAGTATAAATAGAGAGAAACCATAGAGATTTCTATGCTAAGCAAGTAAGATTATTTTAGCAGTCTCTTCAATACCGTTTTGATATTAGCAAGATGTTAATTTTGATATCTAATTATTTCATTACAAGACATAAAAGGCTCTGTCATGGTAAAGCATCTTAAAGTATAACTTACACAGAAACAGAAGGGAAGAATGCACTCATTCTCACAGGACAAAAATAGGGAAGCAGACTGAGTGGAGAGGCGCCTGAGAGAAGGAAAACCTCAGCAAGCAAAACTGAACACACAGGGCTGCAGCCCACAAGACACGACGTCATTCCATGAGGTCTCTCGGAAAACCAAATGATGCTTTTGTGGAATAGACTCATACATACCACAGCTCAGTCTGCCATCTGCACACAGGACTGTCTCTGGGAGGCCCTACATGGGTATGCTGGGACAGTACCAAAAAGATGAGAGAAACATGTGTTAAGGGCTACACAAGACATTGTGCTTCCCACTCAAGCCCTACTTAATGATTGCAGCCAAGAGAATTTTACAGGGAAGAGGGAAAAAGAAAGTAACTCTATTGTTAGAAGTGGGGGTACGAAACAAACCCTTTGCTGACCCCAATCTATTAAAATAGCTCTAAAAATAATATTCTGTTTTCATTTGACAAGAGAATGTTCACCTAGCATAAGCCATAAACATAACAAAAATAACATGGTGCAAAATCAAATTTCCTGAGTTTTTCAAATTAAGACTGTTATGTAGAAACCTATTCAAACATCAATACAGACAAAATCATCATCCCCTGCACAAATCTGACTCCATAATCCCTGGCATTTCTTCACTCCATTTAGGCTTTAATTCTCTCACCTACAAAAATAAAAAGTTGAGAATCAAAGAAATCTCCTAGTTTACAAACATTAGGATTTTTCAAATACATTAAGATTATGAACTTTCTCTCTCATGTAGGGAGAAATCACAACAAATAATGTATATCTCTTAGAGCTGCTGGAAGTAGACTCAGTCCCGGCTCTATCCACCCTTCAGGCTCAGCAGCTGCCAAAGCCTTGGAAAGTGGCCCTGTCCCAACAGGCAATTTTCCTTCTTAAAGCAAGAGTGAAAATATTCCAGAACATCTGGAGAGTCTGGTTAATTTAACAGTCACCTCCCAGGGTCCTGTGGACTTCTTCACCAGCTAATGGTAGCAACAAATAAGCACCAGAAGTCCCTACCCCCAGCACACTTCCTGTGCTTCACCTGCTCTGAGGATGGGACAGGAAACATTTGATTTAGTAGACAAGTGGCAGGTGATAAATAGTGTGGTGATAACCACCCACATATCTTTAAACAGCTTAAAAATAAATGCCTGATCCCAATTCAAGGAGAAAAGGTTCAAGGCTAGCATTTCCTTTAAGAAACAAGCAAATATTTGGATAGCAGTTGAATTATAAACATACAGAAAATTATAACCAGGTGCTTAATGGCTTGTGACACTTGGTCTCTTACAATTTACATGTAGAATGTTGAAAAGGTTCATCTCCCTGAAAACTGAAAGCCCATTGGCTTAGGAATTATTCACTCACTGTGTAGCTGAAGAGAAACAAAAATCAAGACACTTAAGTGTTTGAAAAACACATTTTACTGATTTAGAAAGAAGTTAGTCAACACTGTACGGCATGTTTCAATCTATCCAAGAAAGTGACAGGAAGGCCTGAGTTAGCTGTGACAACAAGGCCTAGGTTAGCTAGGGCAGGGAGGCCTGGGTTAGCTGGGACAGGGAGGCCTGGGTTAGCTGTGAACAGGGAAACGTGGGTTAGCTGGGACAGGGAAGCCTGGGTTAGCTGTAGCTGTGGCAGGGAGGCCTGGGTTAGCTGAGACAGGGAGGCTAGGTTAGCTGAGACAGGGAGGCCTGGGTTACCTTCACAAAGAGTTCCTACTGGTTTTCTCATTAGTGCCACCATACCAGTTATGAACACATAAAACAATTTTTCAACAAGCTCAAGAAGTCAGCAATATTTTAATACACTTCTCCCTAACCTGACTTTACTCACTTCCACTTCTTTCTTTACTAGATTCTACTCAGGATAGCTCTTACATTCCACTCCTGGTTTTGGGGGGTTTTGCTCTGTTTGTTTGTTTTGAACTATAAGAAAGTATTTCACCAGCTCACTCACTGACAGGTAGCAGTGATGGTAAGCTGCAAGTGTTTCACTGCTCCTAAGTTACTGGTCTCTCAACGGGGGGAGGCATAGCCAACTAGATGAAGGACAAGTGGTAATGCTAAGCCTCATCCAATCAAAAATAGAGATGTGAGCGTACTCTCGGGAGACTACAAACCATGATCATGTAAGCATTGCCTGCTTCTTCTCCTAAGCATAAAATGTTCTTTGCTGGTATCTGGAGCATTTCGTTGGTACCACCATGCTAAGTTAACAGATAACAATGACAAAACTAACATTAAAACCTAAAAATAACCATTTCACGGTTAACATTTGAAAGTTTCAACCACAGTAGATCTTAAAACTAAAACATTAAGAGGAAAAAGAAAAATCTTACTCTACCCACTACACCAACCATCCAGGACCACTGAGCAATCTACTGACTTTAGTAACTTTCCTTAAACTTCCAAAGTAATGATAAATACGAAGAATGCAGTGTTAATTAAAGTATATTAGTCACCTATTTGACTAATGTAATTTATGTTTTCCCCCAAAACTTAATGGAATATCATGACTGGAAAGTTAAGAACGTTGAGAACAATTCTGTCAGTAAACAATTAGCAAGCACCTCACTATGAAGCTGCTGTGCAGTCTGGTCTCCATAGAGGAGAAGATAAACACAGCTGAACATAGTTGTCAAGTTCATGTCAAAGTTTATTTTCCAAGGAAATTTTTTAATTAAGCCATACACTCTTTAAAGATGGTTCGATTTAACTTAAAGTTTTCTGGATGTCATTGTTTTCGTGCATAGTCTTAACTCTCCTAAGGAGTACGTAGTGATTTTTTATTGCATCAAGCTGGAGAAGACTAAAGTAATACTGTTTAATAGAGAAATTTTGAAATACCAAATTCCATAATTTCCCGTACGTGTTTTATTCAAATGTTTTTTTGTGTGTGTTTTCACAACCATTGCTATAAAGAGCTGCTCCTGTGCCAACTCCCACACACCTAAATCTATTCTTTTCAAGTAATGCTTGCATTACTCACAATCTATGCCATGATGACTTAGCTTAAAAGCATTTCAGTTGGACTTTCCACTGCAAAAGAATTCATGCTTTTCAGATTTAATGATCCTAAATTGATAGTGTTTCCCTTTTACTCACATCAACATGGGCTCAGGGGACGCTGAGTCAGACTCAAATTTACACAATGTTTTCTTAATTTTTTTATATTTTGTATTTTATTATTTTTGAGATTTAATACATGAGTATTATATTTGCTTTATTTCCATCTCTCCAAGCCCCATCTAGCTCCTCACATGTTCCCCCAACTCCCTTTCAATTTCTTGTCCTCTTCTTTATTATTGTTACATATGCATACATGCATTTATACACACAAACATATAAACATAGAGATTATATATATATAGTGTACTGAGTCCATTTAGTGGTGCTTATGTGTACCTGTGTTTAGGGTTGCTCATTTGGGATTAGATAACTTTTCAGGGAGTCAGTTCCTGGAGAAACTGGATTCTCTCTCCCTCAGCATCCCCTGTTCATTGCCTGAAGCTCTTCATCTTGAGGTGGGACCCTGTTTTGGGTCGGCATGTCTTCCAAGGAAACCAGAACTGAATCCCCTAGAGAAGCACACTGAGAAACGCTGAGCACACTGGGAAAAAGGGGAGGAGTAGTTGCCATTTTGGAACTGAGCACACAGACCATGGGTGGGATGCACACTGACAGCACGGATCTCAAATATGGGAGAGAAAGAGCCTGGGAGAGTTCATGTCTTTGTAAGTGACCCTCTCCTGAATAGCATAAACCTTATTGACAAACCCAAATAAATATACTTATTCCCCAAACTGTAACTTAAGAGGGCCATTGTGGTGGTTTGGATCCCAGAGAGGGCGAGTGGGTCTCTCAGAGGAAAACTTGGCACAACGCCTATGAAATTTCCCTCATCTACTTTGGCGTATCAACTAGTTTTGTCAGTATGTCCACCATACTGTGGCGATTTCATTGGTGGCACTTCCCTATCATGTCTAGAATGAATTAACAGCAGGTGTCTTGTCCCTTGGGCCCTTAAATTCTTTCCACCCCCTTTTCCACAATGTTCCCTGGGCCTTGGGTGCAAAGGTTTGATATAGATATATCATTTAGAGCTGCACACCTCACAGTCACTTATTCTGTACATTTGATCAGTTGTGGAACTTTGTAATAGTCTCTATCTGTTGCAAGAAGAAGCTTTTTGATGAGTGGAGAGCAGTACACTTGTCTGTAACTATCAGGATATGTATTTAGAATATGGTAAGAAATTACATTGGTAGAGGGAAGTGACAAAAGCAGGTTCTTCTCTAGAGGCTATGACCTCACCAGCCACGTGTACTTAGCTATGTTTACAGTACCACACATGAATTCCCTCCCATTGAGCAGGCCTTAAGTCCAATTAGACAGCTGCTTATTGCCCCCAAGATAAAAGTGCCACTACTGCACCAAAGAGGTAGTTTGTGGAGCCAGTCATTATACATTTAAATCAAGAAACACATTTCCTTAAGAACATGGCAAGACACTATTGTAAGAAAGCAAAATGATTTTTCAGTTAAACACTATAAGTCTAGTACTGTAAAGGAGCACAGGCTAAGATTGGAAACTTCAGTGATCCCTAGATAGGTCTGAGGAGAAAAAAACTGTAAGTAGCTTAGAGAAATCTACATAGTTGGTATAACATTCTTCCTTGCCGTTTCCTACCTATTTATTCTTAATTCTGGTGTCTTTCCACTTTTCTACTTTCCATCTTTGCTACAGATCGTGAGGCCATAGGGAAAGTGGAAGATTTTGGTTTGTATTTGCAAGAGAGAATGTATCCAAGCAAGATTCCTCTGTCACTTCTGCTGTAAGTATTCAAGGTCATCTTCTCTTATGCTATAGTTAATTTACAAGCCTAGAGCAAGAGAGAGTCACATTTTTAAATCTATGTAATACAGGAGAATAGAAAGAAAATTAAAAGAGGCAGAGAAAGAATCAGTGTGGCTGGTAGAAATGACAGCCGTCTAACTACTAAGTAGCAGACAGACTGTGGAACTAAACAAATAC